GAACAGAGCTGCATAATAATTCCAAGCCAGTAAACACATTCTTTTGAAAAAAAAACACACCATCTTTTTCGAAGGAACCCATACTCATTTTTTCAGGAGTACGGGTTCTTTTGAAAAAGGTTTTTTTCCCCCCCAGAAGAACCGCATCTAGACTGGTTTCACTTTCGAAATACTCTTTTTCAAAACAGCAATCAGACGTGAATATGCAAATGAAGCATGGGATATTTAAATTCGTGCTTCATTTGCACTTTTGATCAGGCTCATTTACATTCCTCTTTCGAAAGAGGAATGTAATCTATACATAGCCTCAGTTAATGCATCTCACTATGGGGAAGGAACCGTTTTCTCCTTTGGTGCTGCTGTTTCTCACAGCAAATCCTTCTGGGCAAGTTGTGCCTCCTAGAGATTTCATTCTTTCTCTTGAAGCAGCTGCTCCTGGCGGCCATAAGTGCTTACCACTTGGGATCACCACCATCTGGTCCCCAACTAGGGAGACTGCTGAATTCCCAAAATTGCATGAACGTGCTAGTGAGCAACAGGCAGTATACTCAGCTATTCCCTATCCTCTGGATTGGTATTTAGTGCAAAATCTGTGTTGCACCACAGTTTCATTCTGATTTTGGTAGCAACTGTTTGTCAGGGCTCCTGGCCTTGGGGCTTCTGAGAGTCTTGAGGCAGTGGTGAGCATCCCAATACAGGTAAATAACAGTTTTACTTTCCTGCTGTTTTCCTCCCCCCTGCAAAGGCCACATACAGCATAAACTCCTTCCACTGAATTCATGCCCGGGCTGGGTTTATGTCTGCAAATCCCAGAACTCCAGGAGGCTTTGTGCTGAGCTCCACAGTTCATGCTGCCAGCTGCTGTGCTGCAAAGGACTCATAGCTCAGAGGCTGCCACCATATTTCGTTCAGAAAGCATGATGCTAAATTCTGGTTAAAATAAATAAGAGGAAATTTTTTCAGTACGAGAGATTGCTCTGTCCATGTGACTCATTTGCTTCCAGTCTAACACCTCATTTTGCTCTTTTCCTGGTGTTCCCTCAACAAGAATCCTTCAAGGGGTCAGAGGTTATGGGACCTCTGATTCCATCTCCAGTGATCATGATACAGAATGGAGCTACTGATCCCGCCTATGCATTCCTCTTATCCCACCTGTACCTATTTTCATTCCTGTATACTACTGAAAGTACAGGAGTAATCAGGCCCTCAGTCCCTGACCAAATACATGTTTTAATTACTACAATGAGCTCCTCTTTAAAGGTGTGATATTAACTATATTTATGATTTTATTCTGACGATGTTGGTTCCCCTCTTTATCTTATCTGCACCTTTAATGACCATAATATATTTTAAATATGTTTTAGAAGAAATGTTACTCTGATTAGCATTACAATGTAAATTATTATTCATTTTGTTTCCTTTCATAACAGAGGTCCAATCATGATTGCACTAGGAGGTGTGAATACACATAGAAAGACATGATCACTATCTCAAAAAGCATATTGAAAATTGTATGCACAAAAAAACTCAATAGTAAATCTTCTCTAACAGCTAAACATGGCAAGATAACACATGCTGGAAAAAAGTCACTAATCCACATTAACATGTATCTCGTTAATTACTACTAATTTTCCCCTTTACGCATGAATCAGAATACTGTAACAGATTTCAGCACAAACTGCAGTCTGTTAAATATCTTGTCTCTTTTGTTTCGTCCTAGCTCTTGCAATTAACAGTAATTGCTATAGTGTACCTATTCTAGAAGTACATAATATGTTAATATCCCTCTGCTGAGAATTCATAAAAGGAAAGCCGAAACTGCTTGTTAAATTTATTCCAAATGAGCAGTCTTGCTTATGTGGGTGCTTGTGAGAGTTAGACACTCAGATTTTGAAGAAAAGTGTGAAAACAAAAATGTATTGCCCAACCTATAGTCCTTCTGCACTTAAAAGTAACACCAATTTCAATAAGGGTTACTTACACACAAAGAAAACATACCATAGGAAAAATTGAGCCCATAGAATAGATACTTCTTATTCAAAGGGCAATACTCACTTCCCAACGTTGGATGATAACGTGAGCAGAATTTGTCGAATAAATACTTCCTAAACTGAAGAGCAGAGGGACATGTATTCTCAGCATGCTGCATCTTCGTTTGGTGAGCCTCATTCAAAGTACTAGTTTAGAGCCATGCAGTCTACTTAAAATAGACAGACATTAAACAGGGTGGTGTCGCTTCCTTCACTTCAAGTCACTGTGTCCAGAGTACATGGGCAGAGGGACCAGTCTTCCTCTAGCATGAACAATAATAAGCTACTTAGCAGAAGTTCCAGTTGGAAAATGATGTTTCTACAGTTTCTTTTAAACTCTCATCAGAAATGATTTCTTAAACTAAGTTCTGACACATTCCATAAACTTGCTCAAGCAGGACATATTTTTCATGAACTTCTTTTGACATTTCACTGAAATGAGATGCTTTCACTGCTGAGATGCTCGAGGACTGAGGCAGGCCGAGCAAGACAACTGAATCACAAACTAGGGATGTAACAGTATAGCTGATTAACCGATAAGCAAAAATGTATAGGTTAATGCTATAACCTATACGCATTTCCCTCTCCCCCTCTCCCTGCCAGTACATTTTTTAGCAGGCTGGCCAGCAGCTTGGCTCCGTCCTGGCTTGCGATGGGTCAGAACTTAGTTTAAAAAATAATTTCTGATGAGAAATGTCAGCTACAGCTCTGCATTTAAAGTGTATTAGGAGTTGGGTGGGTAGGCAGCCCATCTCAGTTCCGGCTTACAGGGATTGCTACCACCCCGCGCTGCTGCAGCTCTCTCAGAAGCAGCAGCACAAGATGACAGGCAGCTGGTTCGTGAGGGGAGCTGGTTTTTAAACCGGCTCTCCTCCTGGACCAGCTCTCACCTGGCACCCTGTGCTGCTGCCTCTGATACAGTGGCTGTTAGTTGGGTGGGTAGGCAGCCCATCTCAGTTCCGGCTTACAGGGATTGCTACCACCCCGCGCTGCTGCAGCTCTCTCAGAAGCAGCAGCACAAGATGACAGGCAGCTGGTTCGTGAGGGGAGCTGGTTTTTAAACCGGCTCTCCTCCTGGACCAGCTCTCACCTGGCACCCTGTGCTGCTGCCTCTGATACAGTGGCTGTTGGCCCCGGCCCCGCCCCAGGTACTATAGAATAGTCAATTAACCAATAAAATGTCATGAGATTACATGGCTATTCAATTAACCGATATTTAACATCCCTATCACAAATCCATCACCTGTGTGTCAGTTTGTGACAAGGAACTTCTGGATCTCACTGTCCTGTTCCTGTTGCCACTCACCGATCACCACAGGACTTTTGACTTGTGCAGGTGTTGTTTTCCCCACAACTGGAAGATGCTTGTGCAGGACTTCTTTTAAAGTGGGGAGACTAGTGCACAACAGTTACCACACTGTCCTGGACAAATAGAGGCCTTGAAACCAATAGCATAGATACCACAACGATTGGAGATTCTCTATCTGCTGCAGCCTTCATCCGCCTTCAAAGACACTATAAAATTACACAACAGTTTCAACTCCATTGTGCAGTTATCCACCATGTGCTTTGCCATTGAGGACTTCTCATGTCACACCTTATCTGGAACCTCGCCCTCAACCATTCTGCGATGGGTGACCCTAAGGAAGTACATGACTCCAAGCAGTGTCACTCTCAGGGCTCAATAGAACACGCAAGCCTTTCCACCACTACAAGGCGATGATTCACAGAGGTCAAAAAGCCATAATGCGTTGGAGAAAGAAGTCTCCAGGAAATAGCACAGAAGCAATAGGCTTCTGCAAGTGTGCCAGTCTTTCAACAATCATGATCTGTTGTATCACTCGGAGGATTCTCGGGTTCTAAGGAATTCCAAGATTCCTACCTGTTTTGAGAGAAGTGGGGCAACTCCCAACAGAATAATCCCATGCAGCCACAGCAAAGTGAAACTTGTCATTTCCTGCCCTCTACATGATAGTTTCTTTGCATAAGGGAAAATACAAATGATGGATTTTTTCTTAGATCCCTCACAAGAGCTATGGAGCTACTGCCGTCAGTAAACCTTTGTGGGGTCTAGTTTTATTAACAAGAAGGTAATTTCAAAATAACACCATATGAACCTCTGCCTAAACGCTCTCTGGTTTGGTTTCTTCAATAGTTCCTTACTTCAGAACCTATCTGCCTCAAATCCTCATTTCTATTCTTGACAGCTCCTACCATGTCTCCTAATATTCAGTGGGGTGTTGAACAAGCAATTGTGGGAGAAAAATCAAATAACTCCAATTGTGTCTAAGGGGGGACTGTGCAGGAAATAAAAACTCTCTAAAAGAAAACTGCTGTAAGGGTTAAAAGTTTTCCAGGCCTCTCTCCCTGTAACAGAGAGAAATCAAATTAACTCTAATCAAGACCCTTACAATGCCTATCTCAAGTTCATGAAGACTCCTAGTCTGTCACAATTTGTCATGTAAACGCTCTCATGTGCCTTTGTTCTGTAAAACTTACTTCTAGCACTCATGGTGTGAACAGAAACATCTCAGAATACTTCTGCTGAGACTTTGATATGTTAAAGAAAAACAAATAACAACTACTGTCTGAACATACTGTATAAAGGATCCCTGAAACTCTCTCTCAGGGCTGGCTGCTAACTCTGGTAGTGGTCAGCCTGCATGCATGCATAATAAAGTTTTCCTTCTAGGTTTCTCTCCTGCCTCATTGCTTTGACCTCCAGCCTCGGACCCTTCTGGGGGCTCTGTACCCCAGGGGAGCAAGATTTCCCCCACACCACACCTGTCTCAGTCATTAGAGTTAACTTGCAGTTTTCTGTAGGATTCCACTATCTGCTTTTTTTTTTAAAGTGTACGTAGTGGCAAAAGACCAAGATCCACCACCAAATTTGGTCCACTGATTGGATCATTAGCTTCCCTTGGTAGGTAGGATATTGCCAGGGAGTGTAAGATGAATGCTGATCCATACCTCTCACTATCTCCTAAAATGGCAAAGCAAGAGAAATACCCTGCAACTCTGATAGTGTAAAGAAAGAATTTGTAAATACGTATTTTTTATTGTTTTGTAGTTAAGGTACACATAGGAAAATGAAGGTGATGAAGAAGATAAAGATGATGACTCAGTGTAATAACAATGTACTTTTTCTTTCTTTGGAGTATCAGCCACCAATCTTTTTCTTTCTTGATTGTTGACTGAATAAGAAACTCAAGCTAAAACATCAATGAATCAGATGAGACACACTCAACCATATGTATATACTCCACAGCTGTGTCTACACTGCACCCCTTTTCCGGAAAAGGGATGCAGATGAGACAAGTCGGAATTGCAAATGAAGCGGGGGCTTTAAATATCTCCCGCTTCATTTGTATAAACATGGCTGCCGCTTTTTTCCGGCTCAGGGCTTTGCCAAAGAAAAGCGCCAGTCTAGACGGGATCTTTTGGAAAATAAAGCCTTTTCCGAAAGATCCCTTATTCCTGATTTTAAAAGGAATAAGGGATCTTTCGGAAAAGGCTTTATTTTCCGAAAGATCCTGTCTAGACTGGTGCTTTTCTCCGGCAAAGCCCCGAGCCGGAAAAAAGCGGCAGCCATGTTTATACAAATGAAGCGGGAGATATTTAAATCCCCCCGCTTCATTTGCAATTCCGACTTGTCTCATCTGCATCCCTTTTCCAGAAAAGGGGTGCAGTGTAGACACAGCCCATTAGTATAATGTGTGACATAACAGTTCCTGACAGAAGTGAGAGGGTTATCTTATATAGATTTGGATGCCAAATTCTGTTCAGTTACATTTGTGCAGCCTCATTAATGTTTAAAAGGGTCAGAAAAAAGAAATGTTCCAGGCCAGGCCCTATTCTGCTTTGTTACATTTGTGCTACCCTATTGAAGTCCATGTGACTGTGTTTTCTCTTTAATGTAGTGATGTGAAACATTAATGAAGAGGTTTGCTTATACTAAGATGGGTTGGCAACCTTTAGAGTAAACCTCTAGCAGCCTATAAGCCATTTTGCTGACATTGATCATCTGCAGGTTTGGCCCCCACAGCAAACCACGGCCACTGAGAGCCATCTCTGAACACTAGGAGCTACGGGAGGCTGTGCCTGCAGATAATGTCAGCAAAATGTCTTGCAGTCCTCCAGCTGATTACCCTGATGGGCCAAAAGCTGATAACCCTGATGCTAGGTTTATTTTCACATAGCAATTTTAGGATAACTCTATAGGATGCTTAATACATATTGGCTACGTCTATACTGGCCCCTTTTCCGAAAGGGGCATGTAAATTTCACAGGTCGTAATAGGGAAATCCGCGGGGGATTTAAATATCCCCCGCGGCATTTAAATAAAAATGTCCGCCGCTTTTCTCCGGCTTTTAGAAAAGCCGGAAAAGAGCGTCTACACTGGCCCCGATCCTCCGGAAAAGGGCTTTTTTCCGGAGGATCGGGGCCAGTGTAGACGCTCTTTTCCGGCTTTTCTAAAAGCCGGAAAAAAGCGGCGGACATTTTTATTTAAATGCCGCGGGGGATATTTAAATCCCCCGCGGATTTCCCTATTACGACCTGTGAAATTAACATGCCCCTTTCGGAAAAGGGGCCAGTGTAGACGAGCCCATCCTGAATCTATTCATACAGATCACTACGACACTTTCAACTCATCTCTAATGGAAACAGCTAACTATTGTTCTTCTATGGCATTATATAATTTAAAGCTTGGATTTTCAAATACACTAGTGTCCAAATTCCATTGAATGTCAATCAGATTTGGGTGGGTAATGCCTTTTTGAAAAATCTCAGTCTTTGTGAGTGAAACAAAACAGTATAATTTGTAGCGGGTTTGACTCACTTTCACAGCTTCTTCCCTCAAGGTGGCTTTTGGGGAAGTAACTAGCTGCTCCAATGCCAACACGCCCCCTTTGGGTAAGGTGTTCTCTTCAGGGTACTGTCCTTCGGCAGTGACCACTCTGGTCTTGGTCTGCGCCCTCTTCCGGGGGGATGGGAGGAGAGTCATTGTTCTTCTTTCAGTCCAGGGTCCTCCCTACTCCCTAGGACCCCCAGTTCTTCCCGGGAACACCCAGCTCCCTCCAGGTACACACAGTTCCTCAGCACCCTTCCAGCCTCAGTGGCCCACTGCCAGTCCCTCTCTAGTCCTGTCTCCGGGAGGACTGCAGTCCCTCCCGGCCATTCCTCCCTGGCCAAAGGCATGCCACTGCCTTCCCAGTTGCCTCATGCAACCCTGCCTTGTGGTCTTATGGCCTGCGGCTTCCCTGGCTCAAACTCCCGCAGCCTACCGCAGCTGCCTCCTTGCAGCCCGGCCTTTTAGGGCTGCCTCCATGCGAGCTCCGCCCTCTATGACTGCCTCCTTGCAGCCCTGGGCCTCAGGCTGGGTAGCCTGGGTTTGCTAGGCCGAAGCCTCTCTCATTGCAGGCAGGTCCCTCTCCTCCTCCCAGGAGCTGCTCTATATGGCCTCCAGCTGGGCCCTCCTTAGCTGCCTCAGCTAGGCTTCCTCCTGACTCCAGGTCTCAGACCCTTAAAGGGCCAGTACAGATCAACGCCATGCCACACATTGCAAAGACTCCAGATTTAGTGACCTTCCTGTAAACTAACATCATGCCACTGATGCAGAGTTACACCAGGGTTGAATTTGTCCCAAAGACTGGATAAATAGAGAAAATAGTCCTCTGAAGTATCAGACAAATGCAATTGAAGAGAGAAGAACATGTCTTTCTCGCTCTCCTTCTCAATTAGGAAAATTGTAAGAATAAGATTTTATCCACTTCGATAAAATAAACTAATACAATTATATCATTAAACCTGATTAAACAAAAGAACCTTGAAGAGCTGCATGTTCTAAATTTCTTTAAGATTCATAAAAGGAAGCTGGAGTATTAAGGAGCTTGCTCAGTTGAAAATGAGTTACACTGGCATTCTGCAATTTTCCCAAGAGAATTTCACATGGGGAAGCTTGGTACATTTTAAACAACTAATTCAAACATTACATGGATGTTGAAGTTTCTTAGTGGGGTTTAGAGACAAATATGCAACTTAAAGAGCAAATAAATCAAGACAAAAATAATTGGTGAGTGCCCATTTAGTTCACAAGTGGTATGAGTAAATATATTAGAGGGATAAATACCAGGGAGGGAAGAGGAATTATTTAAGCTTAATACCAATGTGGACACAAGAACAAATGGATATAAGCTGGCTAGTAGAAGTTTAGACTTGAGATTAGACGAAGGTTTCTAACGCTAACCATGGCCTTCCAAGGAAAGTAGTGGGGGCAAAAGATCTATCTGGCTACAAGATTAAACTAGATGGGTTTATGAAGGGGATGGTTTGATGAGAGAACATGATCTTGGTAACTAATTGACCATTGATTATCAGAGGTAAATAGGTCAATGGAGGGATGATAGGAGTTACTATAGAGAACTTTCTGGGTGTCTGGCTGGTGAGTTTTGCCCACATGCTCGGGGTTTAGCTGATCACCATATTTGGGGTCGGGAAGGAATTTTCCTGCAGGGTAGATTGGCAGAGACCCTGGAGGTTTTTTGCCTTCCTCTGTAGCATGGGGTACAGATCACAGCTGGAGGATTCTCTGCATCTTAGGGTCTTCAAAGTATTTGAAGGCTTCAATATCTGAGATATAGGTGAGAGGATTATTCTAGGAGGGGGTAGGTGAGATTCTGTGGCCTGCACTGTGCAGGGGGTCAGACTAGATGATCATAATGGTCCTTTCTGATCTTAAAGTCTATGAGTTAATCTATAGTTTAGTTGATGAAATAAAAAGATTACATATCTGGATATTTGACTCCATCATACCCCACAAAAATAGGAAGCCATCTGCAAAATTTCTTAGGTATCTAGAGAATTTGTGAAAGCAACCCAAATTCCTACTCTATAGTGAAAAACAGTTCAGAATCTGCAGCAGAATGGTTCCTATAAAATATTCCACTTATTCCTTTAAACATAAAGAGCACAACTTACAAATACTTGGGCACCTAAATTCGATAACCAAATCCCACATCTGGACATTCAAACAAATAGAGAGGCAAGTAGATGCCTCTTTAAGTGCCTAGTTTTAACTGTTTAATTTCAATGACCGAAGGTAAGATTTGATGTCCTATTTAGTGCCCACGTTTGAATATTGTGCCCAGCCTCCAAAGTGCAGCCAACCAAAGATCTAAACCTTTATTCAGTTATTGTTCACACCTCCACATCAGCTGCTAGAAGGGGGCCTCATCCTCCCTGACTGAATTGACCTCATTATCGCTAACTTACTCTTGATTGGAACTCTTTTCTCCTGCCTGTATTATCCCTGCCTCTGGAATTTACACTAACTGCACCTGATGAAGTGGGTCTTTGCTCATGAAAGCTTATGCTCCAATAAATCTGTTGGTCTATAAGGTGCCACAGGACTTCTTGTTTTTGCAGATTCAGACTAACACGGCTATCACTATTCAGTTATTGGTTATTGCTAGAAATGCAAAATATACCAACCTATTCTCTCCCTTTCAGGCATGTGGGACAAATTATAATTCTTTATTATCTATATTACACTAATGCCCACATGCTGAACTGAGATTATGGCCCCATTGTCCTAGGCACCGAGAAAACAGATCATGAGAGATAGTCCCTGTCCCAAAGGGTATGTCTACGCTACAGCATTATTTCTAAATAGTTATTTTGAAATATCTTATTTCAAAATAACGCGTCTACACACAAAATGCATTTCAAAATAGTGTTTTTCTATTTTGAAATAGTACATCCACACTGAGTGGACACTGAATCGCATTTAAGGCCGGCTGGAACCAGGTCCAGCAGGGCATCAGATCAGGAGTTACTTTTCGTGGCTGAGGCTATCTGAGGCCTGTGCTTGGACAGCCAGTTCTTACCTTTCCCTGCTTGCTTGCCTACCTCGATGAGGGACAGCAAAGCAATTTGTTTCTGCATGTTCTGGTTGCCCTCACTCTGGACACCACGAATAGTGATAGAAATGTAGCTGTGTTAGTCTGTTGTAGCTGAAGCAAAATACAGGACTGTTAGTCTTTAAAGTGCTACATAGTCCTGTATTTTGCTTCTGGACACCACAGCACTCTGCAACATGGAGCCAGAGCTGCCCCGGGCAGTCTGGTGCTTCTCTTCCATGCGTTGCTATGGGCCTGGCTGCACTTTCTGCAGGCTGTCCATCAGGGGGCTGTAAGTATCGGGGAGACCCTGTGGGAGAGCTTCCACCCTGAGCACTAAGAACCTCCCTGGTCTGCCCCACTGGGAGCTTGGACCTCATTCCTCCCTCACGTCCTTCCACTTACATATATTTTATTTGACATCAGGAAGGGGTATTTTCATGAACACAAACCCTCTTTATTTAACAAAACTTGGGGGGGGGGACTCTGGTGAGACTGGGGAAAGGAGGCAGGAGAGGGGAAGAGAGTGGGAGAGGGGAGGGGGAAACCTGGGAGGAGGGAGCTAGAAGGGGAAAGCAAGGGGAAGAACGGGGAGGGGAAGCTCAGGGTCTTGCTGGACCAACTTGATTTTCATGCAAACCTGCTCCTAGGTTCGCATGTGGCCTTTGGTGGCCAGGCTGGCAGCTATCCTGCCATAGACAGCCGCGTTCCTCCATATAGTGCAGAGATCATGGACTTTGGGGTCATCCACGAGGCGTACAGCTAGTTCGGATAGGAAGCCTAATCTGAACTAGCTAGTCCATGCCGCGTGTAGCCGCGCGGCACGGAGTCCGAACTAGCCGGCATTTAAAAATGGCGCCGGCCGGCTTCATGCAAATGAAGCCCGGGAAATTCAAATCCCGGGCTTCATTTGCAACTCCGTATGACTACATTACCCCCCCCTAATTCGAACTAGGGGGATAGTGTAGACATACCCTAAGTGATGTGTGGTCACTGACCAGTTGGAAAGTGTTTCCTGGCAGGTAATACCTACCTCAACATGTCAACTGTCCATTTTACCCTAGGGACTTCTTCTCCATCATTGAATAGCTTTGTTCTTGTGGAAACAATTTCCTACTCATGTAAAAGAACAGATGTTCTTCTCCCTCTAGCTCCTGGGACAGGAACCTCTAGTCTCACCTGTGACAGACACCCTCCTCCCCAGGCCTTTTGAAATAGACTTATGGACATAAATGTACATAATTCACAAGTGCTTGGAGCAAATTACTTCATGTAAGCTATCAATCTTCGTGTCTTAATACGCTGGTTTTGTTTATATTATTTTGGTATGTGTATCACTCTTGTGTGTAAAATTAGACATGTAAAGTAGGGAATATATTATGCTTTTTAAATGTGTGAATGAAAGGCATTAAGGGTGTTACCCTCAATGTCATGATGACCAACTTTTAAACAATCTCTTTTGTCCTTTAAGTCTTAGCAGTTGTTTGTCTGGGGAAGTCACATGGCCACCCCAAATGGCCAGGTGACTTCCCATGCAAGTAGGGAATCTTTTAAAACAACAGGAAAGTAGGAGTCTGGTCTTTGGGCTGGCTAGACACACCCAAGGAGGGTGAACAAGAGACACCAGGGGAAGTGGAATTTGCCCTATTTTTCAAGGCGCAGCTGGAACAGAAACAGTTTTGGAGTGAGTTCATAATAAGTTTGGGCAGAGGTTTTTAGTGTTAAAATTAGCTAAATGTTTTCTGTTACTTTTGAGTTTGTAATCTACTTTGCTCTACCTATTCTCAATTATTACCACTTAAATCCCACTGCTCGTACTTCATAAAATCACTTTTTTAAATTTTTTATCAAACCCAGTATGAATAATTGTTACCTGGAGGGGCAACCAGTATGTACATTCTCACTTTCATTATTAAAGGGAACTTATCCAGGCAATTCATTGAGGGTTTTTATCCCATTTGGGGAGTGGTGTCCCAGGGGCCAAAACTGCACTCTCCTTGGACCTGAAGAGGTTCAGGATCTGTACTGCCTCTCGGGTGGCAGTGGGTGGCGGGGGAGGCAGGAATCTCAGCTCAGAAAGACCAGTGGAGCTGGCTCAGCTGGACTG